AGGTTGCTGTGAGCTATGATGCCATAGCACTCTACCCAGGCAACAGAGACTCTGTCTCAATAAATAAATAAATAAATAAATGCAATCCTACCATAAATGGGTGCCCCAGCTAACCACCCTGTCTACGCAGGCACACTGTGTCCAGCATGGCCATCATCCATGTTTGTGCATGGATTTGCTATATAAAATAATGGAAAGTAAAGGGAGAACACAATGTATTGAACACGACTTTCCATTAGGTGAAACTGTTCACAGGTACACAAAGATTGTGTCAGAAGTGAATTAAGAACGACATATATAATTGGTATTTAGAGCTCTTGGGATTGTTGTTATACTGTTGAGCCCAAAACAAACTTTAAATTAAAAAGAAAAAAAAGACATGGAGCTAAGTACACATGCTGAGTCTCACCCATAAAAATGCTGTGGGCAGAGAGGTCAGTTCAAGCCAGGATCTCTCAGCCTCGGCACTGCTGATGGTTTCTGCAGACAATTCTTTGCCATGAAGGCTGTACTGTGCGCTGTAGGGTGATGACCAGCACTGCCAACCTCTTCCCACTAGGTCCCAGTAGCACCTTCCCAGCTGTGACAATCAAAACTAGGCATTGCCAAATGTCTGCAGCTTGTGGGGTGGGAGGCAGTCGCTGCAGTTGAAAACCACTGGTGTAAGCGATAAACAGCCATCACTGTCCTCGTTTGCTATGGGAAGGGACAGGTTATGAGGGCTGGGGAAACCAGAGAGTGTGTACTCTCTAGGGAGGGCAGTCCCTATGCAGTTGGAATCCAGAATGACATAGTCTGTTTCTTTTTAAGTAGGTAATTCAAAGTTAAAACTTAGTGCACCCTGAACTTCACATCTGTGGACTATAGCAAGTGGTCACAAATTTTTTCTGCAAAGGGCCAGACTGTAAACATTTTAGTCTTTATGAGAGAAACTGGCTCTGTTGCAACTACTTAATTCTGCCCTTGTGGAAGGCAAGCAGCCATAAATAATGGGTGTGGCTGTGCTCCAATTAAGCTTTATTCATGGACATCAAAATCACAAAATGCTATTCTTTCTTTGATTTTGTTTCCAGTCGTCTAAAAATGTCAAAATCACTGTTAGCGCATAGCTCAGATTTGACTCACAGGCAGCAGCAGTAACATGGAGGTGTTGGAAAGAGGTGAGAATCAGCGTGGGGGGTCTGGGCAGAGAGCACAGGCTTGCCTCACACTGGGGAGGATCTGCAGCTGGAGGATGCCTGCTGGAGGCCTCTGCTTTGCCTTTTCCAAGCCTCATCCAACCCCTACCCCTCGTGTTTTCACACTGCTGCTTCCTAAGACACCAAAGGAAGGGATTACCTTTTTCAAAAAACCACACATTGGGTGTGGTGGCTCCTGCCTGTAATCCTAGCACTCTGGGAGGCTAAGGCAGGTGGACTGCTTGAGCTCAGGAGTTCAAGATCAGCCTGAGCAAAAAAGTAAGACCATAGCTCCACTAAAAAAAAAAAAAAAAAGAACATGGAGCTCTCACCATTCAAACATGACAGGTCTGGTAAAATACTAGTAAGGTTGAGTCCTGCTTGCCTCCACTCCGTCGTCATTGTATGAGCCAGTGCTTCCTTCCCTCCTTCCCCTTCCCCTTTGTTTTTTGTTCTTTTTTTTTTTTTAGTGGTTTTTAGCTGATGTTTATGAACAGCAGTGAATACCTAGAACTAACTGTGCTGCAAATGAAAGGAAGTCCTATCTAAAAAGGTGCATTTCTTTACAGAGTTGTGTCATACCATCTTTGGGGCCCTCTGCTGGAAAAGTAGAATCAAGTCTCAAATAATGCCTTTTTAACTGTATCCCTAGTATTGCAGATGTAGGCCAGGACTGTAGCATACCTCGTGAATGTAAAATATCTTTTACCTGCTCTATGATACATGGTAGTGACCGTGCTTTATCAGAGCTGTTTTTGATGATGTTATTCTAGAATGTTTTCTTTCCAGACGATGATTCCGAAGCTAATAAAAACAAATGGTGCCAGGTACCACAATAGTAACAGAACTTTGCTGTTTTCTGAGGTTTTTTTTTTATCTCTCTCCCCCCTTTTTTTAATGGAGTGTGCTGATGTCTCTGTAATTTTGTTTAGATGACTGCAGAATCTGGAAAAGCTTTTGCTGCTACTGATGCATAACATACTGCTATTATTGATCTTTATATATAAATATATACATACACATATAAATATATAATTTGAATTTTTGGAAACTTTAGCTGTGCTGTCAACTTTTGAAAAAGTATCCCAGTTTACTGTGTTGAGTTGGCATTGTACAGAAATTAATAGCCATAGTGGTCTAGAAACATTAATTTTTTTCCATTTGTACAGGGGTAACACACTGTATTAAATATGTAAGATCTTATCTTACATGGGTTTGTTTACGGAAACTAATAACGTATTCTCTAAATAATAAACAAAAAAAGAAAAGAAAAGAAAAACCAGCTAGGCATTGTGGCTGGTGCCTGTAGTCCCAGCTACTTGGGAGGCTGAGCAAGGGGATCACCTGAACCCAAGAGTTTGAGGTTGCTGTGAGCTATGACATCAGGGCACTCTAGCTAGGATGACAGAGTGAGACTCTGTCTCAAAAACAAACAACAACAACAAAAAAACACAGATTGGCTTCTCTGGCATTCTTTTAAAGTTTTCTGCTATTATCGTAAAAGAAAGGCCACTATGAGGTGCTAATCTAGCTGTTTACATGGTTCTCAGAGCCCCAGAAAACTCTTTGATGGGTATTTTACTCATTTTGCTGAACACAACAAGACTTCCTGACAGTAAACAGAAACACACAAGGCCTTCTGCAGCCACAGAGGCAACCCAGGGCACCAGGAATGGGGACAGTCACCAACCCCCTGAACACTGGGGCCCTTGTCCTGTGGGTCTGCCTGGGAGGGCAAGGTGTGTGGCCACACTGGACACATTTCAGGGGCTCCTTGTCACGGGCACGAACACTGACTCCTGCAGAACCACCTCCGGCCCACTTAGAACAGAACAGAGAGCTGCTGTCTTCCCACCCCTCAAAGGTGGAAAAGTGAATATAGAAATGACCAAAGGAAGCTGATGGCAAGAGGAGAAAGCAATGAAAAGAAACAAGAAATAAAAGGAACAGTTAAAAGATGAGTGGCTCTGGCGGCGGTGGGAAAAGATGCAGAAGACAGAGGTAAGGGGAAAGGGAGAGAAGGAGAAATGGAAGGGCAAGGGTCAAAGGGGCCTTGCTGCTGTCCCCAGAAGACATTCCTGCTTCAGTGACTGAGGAGGGTGGGGGGTGGGGGCAATATCTCCATCTCTGGAACGCAACCACAGGAGCCATCCAGGACCCCTTCTCTATCTCCAGCCATCATTCTTGGATTTTAGGTTCAAAAACCTCATCCATGTGTGAGACAGATAAATTTGGGGAGGACTCATTCTGGGCTCTCCTCTCTCCTCCACCTCCCACAGGATTTGAGAAGTTCCCCCAGCTGGAGGTGGGCAGAGTGGCTGAGGGAGTGGCAGGTGACCCCAGCAGGATAGGTAGGGCCAAAGCACATATATAAAACATGGTGACACAGGAGCCCAGAGGACCCACTGTGTGGCTGACTTTGCCCCACGAAGCCTGCCTCATCGAATGTCCCCTGATGCTCAGAACCAGTCCCAGGAAGGACAGAGGTCAAAATCCCAATGGGACTGAGTTACAAACCCAAAGCAACTCCCAAATCACCAAACTGGGCTGAGTAACTTACAAGTGTCAGGGTCTTGGGCTAGTAATAAATTTTATTTATTGGAAAGTAAAGCAGCGTTTTGCACAGCTGAATTGGCTTATGAAGTTCATGCCTGGGACACAAATACTTACTTCTTCAACTCTTCTAGAAAATATAGCGTCAGTCTTCCTGGCTGGCAAATGCTGGGTGTCTGGACCTTGAGCCACTCACTCAGTATCTCACCTGACCCTGATCTCCCCAGACTCCCAGTGAACTCCCCCAGTACCGACTCCATTGCTCTGGTCACAGTAGGAGCCTAGTGCCAGCCAAGCCATTCTCCAGGTCTCACCAGCTGACGCCTGCAATCAGCACCTGCCCTAAAGCTTCCACTGTCAGAAGTTCGGTGCTTAGCTGGAGCAAAGGATGAAGAGGATGTGTTGGAGCAGCAAAGTTGCTTGCATGTTCCTAGGCCCTGCTCAGCTACTTCTGGAAAGAGGCCTCATACGGGTATGTTCAATAAGCATTCCCGGGCTCTGCACCAGCGTCCCTCCCTGGACAATGACCACTGCAATGCCTGGTGCTTTCTACTCCCCAGCTCAAGTGCCAGGGAAGTGACCTGGAGACTGGGCAGACCTGAGCCCAGCAGAGTCCACTTCCCAGCACCCCTCTGGGATGCTCCCTCCTTCCTTGATTTCGTGGCAGTCCCTGTGCCATGAACTGCGGACAGGAACCTGGGGTGCAATGCTGCTGCAGACACTTGAGATGCAATAAGGATGAGGAGAGCCTCAGGCACACTCTGGGAATGTCCACTCCATTTCCACCCCTGTGTGTGGGCAGAGTAAGATTTCAGGGCTGCCTCTGAGAGGAAGGCTAAAGCCCAGGCTCCAACCAGACCACCCAAGCACCAACTAAACGACTGTCCTCTGGCAACAGGGAAAGGCTTCCTGGAAAGGCTGTGACCATAACCCAATTTCTGGGGGACCAGGCAAGTCCACCTCAGGTCTCCTTTGAGCTCAGAACCTGGACTTGTCCTCCGAAGTCAGTATGTCAGGAGGCCTCAGTGAGAGCCTGTTAACTAAACAAAAGAAGAGAAATTGCTTTTCCTCTACAAAGCCCTGGGGCTTCTCACCATGCCTTCTTCCTCCCAGCACCAATTCACATCTGTGTCAAGGAAGCTCAGCTGGCAGTTCAAGTGCAGGGGACAGAGGGGAGGGCCACAGAAGCACTCTGCCGAGTCTCGGCATTCTCTCTTGGCAAGGGTCGTCTACACTGAAGCTCCCAGGAGGCTCATGTCATGGTGACATTTAAACTTCTTTCTTGCTGTGTTCTGGAAGTTTTTCAGACATGAGAAATTCTCTGGTTGTCACTGAATTTTTCAAATATGGATTTGGTGCTCTTTCCTCACAGAGGTGGTCTGGCCCTAAACTCTGACCGGAAAAGAGACCCTGCTCACTGGCCTCTGAGCAGGCCTCTTCTGCCATTCCCAAACACAGGTACTGGGATTTTCTGGGAGCAATCTCAGTTGAAACTGGGGACTCTTCAAAATTCTTCCCTGGAGGATAGTCAGGCCTGTGGGGGGAGGTCATGTACTCATTCTCTTCCCCTCCCAAAATGTTTTCCTGAAACTTTCCAGCTTCTATGGAAATGTCTTCCAGGAAATTCTCAAAGTTCACCACCAACTTGTCAATAAGGTCACTGGAGGTAGAAAGTGGTTTTAGGATCCTGTCTTCTTCTGGGTTCACAGAGTCATCGAATTCCTTCAGGTTTAGCTTATCCTGGACAAGAAAAAGAAACATCCCAACATAGGGGCTACATTTGATCATTTAGGGGCTACACTTGATGTAGCCAAAAGCTCCCCAGGCGTGGGACCTCAGATGCCCCACTCTTGAACAGCACCCCACACTCCCCAAGGCCTATCCTCTCCATATGCCCTTCCAGGGGGGCTGGGAAAGGGTAGTCTATTTCCTGAGAAATGGCTCCCTGGATTCAAATAGTTTCCTCTAGATTGCTTAAGGCTATTTTCCACACAATCATACATTCACAAAAGCCCAGTTACGAATGAAGTATTAAGCCAGGACGATGGCTCACACCTATAATCCCAGCACTCTGGGAGGCTGAGGCAGGTGGATTACTTGAGCTCAGGAGTTCAAGACCAGCCTGAGCAAGAGCAAGACTCCATCTCTACTAAAAGTAGAGAAATGGGGCAGGTGCTGTGGCCCATGCCTGTAATCTCAGCTATTCGGGAAACTAAGGCAGGGGGATCACCTGAACCCAGGAGTTTGAGGCTGCTGTGAGCCTGACCCCATGGCACTCTAGCCTTGGCAACAAAGTGAGATGCTATCAGAATTTTTTAAAAAAGGAGGGTTTCTCCTTAAGGAATATTCACTCGAAACCCCATTCCAGTTAAATAAAGTGTGATTCTAATTTCCCCAATCTGAGAAAAACAACTCAAGACAGTCTCTGGACAGCTAGGCTCATCAGTGTCAGGTTTCTAGGTGGTCTCCAGATTAATTTGCATTGGACTGCTTTTTAAATGACCTCAGCTCTTATAGTCAGGCCCTTTCTCTTTCCAATTAGACAGTCAGGTCAGGAAGGGTAAGGTTGGTGTCTGCCTTCTGTGTCATCCTTCATGGGACCAGTTCCATTCTGGAAACACGGTGGTTCCACCCAGCCTGGTGAAACCCTTTTCTCTTGTCCAAAACATGAGGTCAAAGTCATTCCAGTGAGGTTGATTCCATCTGCCCTGCACCCAGACTCTCCCTGGGACTTTTCAACCTTAAATTCTCTTTAGGGGAACTGCAAACAAAACTCAGCCCAGGATTCCTCCCCATCTCCATCACCCTGTCCACCTTCCACAAGCAGCCTGTGCAGTGATTTCCTTAAGAAGAACAGAGTGCTTACCTTGAAATCACCTCCATGCCACGTGGCTATACTACTTTCTGCAGGATTGGGGACCTTGGGCCAACATAGGTGAGTCAATCTGCTAATAAGAGATATGATTTCAAAACAGGAAGTGAGTCCAGAGGATTTTACACATACCGTATAGCTGAGCTGCAAGACTGAGGCTTTGCTAAGAGGAACCATATGGCTCCTGACAGAAACCAGGAAAATAAAGTAGGTTGGAGTGGGCGTGGGGTGGGGAGGTGAAATTGCAGGTTATTTACAGGACGTGGTGGGAGCCCAGCTATTGGGCTCTCCCTTCTCTTGCTCCTGCATCTTCATACCTAGTCCTGTTGCAGGAAATTGCAGCATCACGGACGTTGCTTTGGCATTTATTCCCTGGGAAGGGTAACACTCAACGTCTTATAAGCTACCCACACTTCAGTGTATTGGTTCTCAAAGTGTGGTCCTAACCAGCAGCACCAGCAACACCTGGGAACTTGTTATCAATGCAAACTCCTGGGCTTCACCCCAGGGCCATGGAATCAGAAACCCTTGGGATGGTGCCTCATTTTGATGCATGCTAAAGATTAAAAGGATTTCTAGGTTCATAATGTACATGAATTTGTGCAGGTGGCTTGGCTACAACATACATTGGTAACTGAAGTTGCATTAGCTGGGCAGAGAAAGCCCGCAGCTGTTCAATTGAAAGTGAGCTCCACCAGGGAGGGACCAACGGGGCAGCAGGAGGCTCCCTGCAGAAACAAAACACAAGACCCTGGAGACAAGCATCCTTCCCCCAGTGACCAGGGCAGGCAGGACAAGGGCCCCTGCAGCCAGCCCTATGACACTGTACCACAAGCGAGAAACAAGTCTGTGCCAGCATACAACTGGCCAGCACTCTGACTCCATGGGGATGCTGCTCCCTACTCTAGCTGAGGCCTCAGGGCCTCAGTCTCAGATGGCAAATGTAGCAGAGGAAGCCTGTGGGACAGCTGGCACTCTCCTGGCCTCAGAAAAGCCTAGACCTGGTACATGGAGCCATGGGAGGGGGAAGTCATCCTGCTTGGTCAGAATTCTGATGAGCCACAGAATGAAGCCTCTAATAATCTCAATAAGCATGTACCAAGTCGAAAAATGAATGAACACCCCCTAAATGGTAGAAGGCATCCATGATGCTTTCCGCCCCTTTTTGTCCCTGGTTTTCTAGGCCCCCACCATGGCCTGTAAACTCACTTGGGCTTTTTGAAACCATATGCCACTGTCAGGACGATGAGAGTAAGAAGCCCTCCTCCAGTCAGAGAAGATATAAGAAAAATCTCAAAGACACCTTGGGGGAAAGAAGAACAAAAATCATCAGTAAATTAATTCAGTTCCTTACTTGCTCAACAAAAATCAAAGATTAGCTTTTCCTTCTAGTAGCTTCAGCAACACAATTTCTTATTATTCTTCTTCCAATTAAAAGAACCTGGGATCTGTATCTCCCTATCTAGTTGTCTTCTCCCTGTACCATATACTGTGTTCACGGAGCCCAGTTATTACAAAATTTGGCAATGTTCTTTAAATTTTAATCTAAAGGTTTGTTTATTCCTTAAAACAGTTTTAGTATGTACTTAAAAATCAAATCTCTGCCACTCTAAGACTTGGCACAATTAACATATTCCTCTGTTTTTCTCATTCTCCTCCCTTCCTCGTCTCTCTCCTCATTCCATCGTCCTTCCCTCTTGAACATCTCCCTTAACCATCAGACGAAGCTACATTATATTTTATATTACTTGTTGTATCTATTAAATTTTTCTTGCTCCCTATATTTTTGATGTAAAAATTGGTGAGTTAAACATACAACAGACCTCTTTGCCCCCCAAAACTTCACAAATAAGATGAGGTTAAGCCTCTTCCTGTGGGTGAATGGTCCTTAGTCAACCAAGATTTTCCCTCCAAGGCCCTGTAATGTAGTATCCTCAGAAACTGGTGACTGTAAACTTGGGGACAGCCATGGGCAGGAGTTAGTAAGGTGCTGAGGCCAAAGCTAGCATTAACTGGACACCTCCTCCTGGAGATGGTTTGGGGCTGCCCATGAGAGAGCAGCAAGATGGCCAGTCTTTCCAAATTCAGCTCTGGGTCTGCCTGCTCACCCTCCTCCCCCATGTGCCTTCCAGGAAGGTCAGTGAGCCAGGGAGCAGGACAGCTCCTCTGACCTCAGTACTGCCATTCACTGGGCTTCCACCTGCATTTAGCAAACACCACTTCTCACTGACCTAAGGTAAATACAAGGAGAGGTACTCAGGGCTTGAAGGAAATACTCACTGAGTGATAATGTCCTGAACTTTATCTCCATCCCAAGTTTCCCCCCAGCACTGGTGTTGGCCATGACCTTAACAGTGTAAGAGGTCTGCCGTGTCAGGGACTCCAGGCCATACTGCAGCACGCTAGAGTTGACTGTCTTGGCTAAAGGAAAAACACACAAGTCAAACACCACAGGCAGACCAGCCTAAAGTTCGTGCTTTAGTAGCACCAAAATAAGAACATTGGAACCTGTGACTCCAAGGTTGGCCAGCTCATATTCCTACTCTTATTCATGTTCTACTTAAAATTAGCCTGGCAAGATGGATAAAAGACCTAAATGTAAGCGTTAAAACTAAAAAAAAAACTCCTAGACGACACAGGGTAAAATCTTCATGACCTTAAATTTCACAATGGTTTTTTACATGTGATACCAAAGGTACAAGCAGCAAAAGAAAAATAGATTAAATAGGATTTCATTAAAATTAAAAGCTTTTGTGCATCAAAAGAACAATATTAAGAAAATGAAAAGACAACCGTAAGAATAGGAGAAAATATTTCCAAATCATACATGTGATAAGGAATTTTGATATCCAGAACATACAGAGGAAAAACTATATTAAATAATATTCAACATATATCAATAACAAAAGTAATTACAGAAGTCAAACGTGACTTGTCTATGATGAATATAATACAGGTTTTTCTTTTCTTAAAATGCGTGTCCATTTTGTTAGCACCCTCTGTATACAGAACTCCCATAACTACAGCAAAAGACAAACAGCCGGACTTAAAAATAGGCAAAGAGATTTAGAAGACATTTCTCCAAAAAGCATATACATATGCCCATAATTATGTGAAGAGACACTCAACTCCATTAGTCATTAGGCAAATCAAAGAGCTACCACTTCACATCTACTAGGATAGCCATAATAATTTTTTAAATAAAAAATAAAAAGCGTTGACAAGGAGGCAGAGAAATGGAAACCCTCATACACTGGTGGTGAGAATGTAAAATGGTGTAGTCATTATGAAAGAAAGTTTGGTGGTTCCTTAGTAAACTAAACTGTAATTACCATATAATTTAGGAATTGCAACCGTAGGTACGTATGCAAAAGAACCGAAAGCATGGACTCACACCGATATTTGTACATCACTGTTCATAGCATCACTGCTCACAGTAGCCAAAAGGTTGAAACAACCCAAATGTCCATAACAAAATATGGACCATCCATCTACTGGAATATTATTATTCAGTCATAAGAAGGAATGAAGTATTAATTCATGCTACAACATGGATGAACTTTGACAACATCATGTGAAGTAAAAGAAGCCAGACACAAGGCCACATATGGCATGATTCTACTTATACAAAATATCTGGAATAGGCAATGCCGATAGAGGCACAAAGTAGTTTGGGATTTCCAGGGGCTGTGGGAAGAGAGGAACGGGGTATGAACAATTAATGGGTACAGCTTGTTAAAAAGGTTCTGGTGAGGGTTGCACTACACTATGAACATTCTTAAGGGCCCCATTTTGCACACTTTCAAATGTTATGTTACACTATTTTACATAATACAAAAATTTCAGCCTAAATAGAAATCTAAGCCCTGGCCAGAATTTAGGCTATCAGGAGATCTTATGGACTCAAAAACAAAAGTATGACTTAGCAATGGGCAGTAAAAGTCATAGTACAGGGTCTGGCCCCTCTACTCCAGCCAGGCATACCTTTCCCAATAATAGTAGTGCTCCCAGGAAGTCAGCTCGTTTAGAGTCTGACCAGGATAAACCATCTCAGCATTCATACAGAACTCTCAGGTACTGTCACTTCACTGTCATTTAACCCCCCAAGCCTCAAAAGATGGGTGTTCTTGGCCTCATTTTCAGAGAGGCTTAAAGAAGCTCAGTGACTCATGTAAGTTGCAGGTCACAACAATGGGAGTCATGCTTAGACAGGTCTATCCCTAGGATCTATATGGGGGGTTTTAATCTTGGCCATGGGTAGACTTACAGAATTCTTTTCCATCTTCGGCTTGGCAAAATATGGTATAGTTTCTGATTATACCATTTCTCTCACTCTTGGGGATCTCTTCCCATACAATCATGACTGTCTTCACACCAATATTCTCCACCTTGGTCCTAGGACCTCTTGATGGAACTAGAATGGATGGAGATATAAATGATGAACACTGAATCACACCCCAGCAGTCCTTCCCTCACCAACGCTCTGGCCAGTACTCAGACCAAAACCACAGTGCTGGAAGTGGAAGGTAAGTGTTGATAGGGATTTAATGGATCAACTTCTTGGGAAAATTGTGTTTTGGAGTCACCCAACTTAAACAAGAAGAAAAGTGACACTAAAGACCAAAGAAAAAGTATTTTCTTATAGATCACTTTCTCCAATCTGGTACCCAGCTTTTCCATTTCTATCTATGAAGTGTAGCTATTATCAAATAATTGAATCCATGCCTCCAAGGGCTACATTTGAGTGGCTGATATTTTCCAGTGTTGAACCTGGAAGACAAGAACTTGCAAAAATATAAGAATAAAGTCTGAACAATTCACCAATAGAGCCCTTGCTTATTGCCATATAATTTAATAAATAATTTTTTATAATCCCCAATGTATGATAAACTCTGTAGGGTCCCTGAGTTAGTCTTAACTAAATGTTTTTTCTGCTTGCCACTATATTTGCACTAGCTTTCTTTGTGACTTTGGGTAAGTTGTTTCACCTCACTGACCTCAGTCTCACAAATGTGAAATGAACTTTAAAAGTTCATTAAAGATCAATGGACTTGATCTTTAATGTCTACCTAAGCTTTGCAATTCAGCAAATCCAGTGGTGTCAAAAATTCATAGTTCCCTACAGGATGTGAATGATGGGCAGACCCCAGTGTTTCCTCCCCCACAGGGCCTTTCCCATACATACTGTCTTCTTTGGCATAAGCCTGAATGGAATTTGGCTCGCCCACTTGGTCTTGCAACATTGGATACACAGAGATGTTATAGCACAAGAAAGGCTCTAGTTTATCTGAAAAAAAAGACAGAAAGAAAGAAGCATAAGTACAGAATGTGGCAGAGTTGCAGACATGCTAGACTAAGAGTTATGACTTATGACTTGTGAAGATATTCAGTAACTATATAGTTTCCACATCTGAAAAATAAGAAGGTTAGGTTGGATAGTCTGTGATGCCTATTGCTGCTCTAAAAGTTTCTAATTAATTCTTAGAATTGAACCCTGCTCCACTCTGCCAAAATTGTAGAGCCATCCAGTGCCCCATCACTGATTTTATCATATGACATATTTATGGGGCTACATATGATTTGGGGCTACTGCAGAATAAAACCAAATCCTTCAGTCAATAGCATAACACCCTGGAGAACTCAGGTACCATGAATTCCAGCCTCTCTGCCTGCATGCATCCCTGCATGCCGATTATTCTTCATATAGGTGGCATTAAGAAATGCCTGGAGGGATAAGATTGAACAGGTAAAACCTCACTCATGCATCTTATGGGGGCAGGGACTGTTCTTGTATCAATTCCCTAGGGAAGGGGCCTAGCTCTTAAATAGGCAACCAGAACTAAAGGGAGTGTCTGACACAGGACAGATGGGATCCAAACACTCGTGAAAGCCACAAGATGATGAGAACATCTGGGAAGGGCTCTCCTTCAGCACACATTAAGGTGGTGTTTTCCACTTGGAGATAGGCCAGATACATGGTCCAATACCCACAGCTTTCTGTGCCAACCTTGCCTGGGAAATGCCAAAAAGTGCATCACTTCCCTAAGCTTGCATGAGCTTGTCCGAAGCTATTAACCACATTTATAGTTTTGAAGCCAAAGTTAAAGATCTAAAAACTGATGAAGATAAAACTAAATCCTGCACAGAAGGAAGCTGTGGGTTCTGCGCTGGATACCTTGCTGGATTGTCCAATTCCTGGCCTGAGACACAAGTTCCCAGGAAAGAGCCGGGGGCTCTGAGTCCAAATCTGGGAACCACTCTACCATCCACGTGTCCACCTCCGAATCAGAGCTTTGCCACTCCACCACCAGCTGGTCCTGAGCAAGGCAGGCCTGCAGGGCCTCAACGTGACACAGTGCTGAAAAGAGAGGAAGGACTACTTCACAGCTACCCAGCTCAACCCCACATGCACCAACCACACTGGCGTCTGCTCATTGCCCAGGCTGTAAAGCAAGGTCAAAGTTCATCTCCACAGCAGCCTCCCCATGGTACTACTTTCATCCTTTTATTTATTTATTTTTTTTAGACAGAGTCTCACCTTGTTGCTCTTGGGCTTAGCGATTCTCTTGCCTCAGTCTCCCGAGTAGCTGGGACTACAGGCGCCCACCACAACGCCCAGCTATTTTTTGTTGCAATTCTCATTGCTGTGTTTCAGCTGACTGGGGCCAGGTTCAAACCCACCACCCTCGGTATATGGGGCTGGCGCCTTACCCACTGAGCCACAGGCGCCACCCTACTTTCATCCTTTTCATTGTATCCCTTTTCCTTATACAACATCTTTGATGATTAAGTGCCTTCTCAATCTTCCTTCACCTCCTCAAATTGACCTGTTTCCAGCAAAGGATGTCACTAGAGAGTTGATGACCACAAAGACTTACCTGCCAGAGGTGTTTTCTGCAAGTCACAAGGAAAGCAAACCTGAGACAAAGAATAAATCTCCAAAGGTGGAGTTTTAGGCGCCAGTAAGTGTGTTGCTGGGAAGGTGGGAGATGGTGATCCTAGCATCATAGCAGGGAGATGACTTCCCACTTTAACTTGAGATGCAAGCCCTACACAAAGTGGACATGAATTCCTATCCTTAAGGCAGCAAGAATTGTGTCTATACCAGAAAGATAAAGACACACCCATTCAAAGTGCCTAAGTGTGGACCAATATACAGCAGAACCTCCATAGTTGACCACCTCCGTGCATTGACCACTCCTTAAGTTGACCTAATTTTCATAGACCAGACATGCACCATATGCACAAATCAATACAGTAGGCCTCGTTCCTTATGTTGACCACCTCTGTACATTGACTAATTTGTTACAGTCCCTTGGGTGGTCAAGTTACAGAGGCTCTACTGTATGTAACTGGCAATATTTTCTGTAAGACTGGCCCAAAACACATCTCTGGAAACAGACCACAAGATTCCTTTAACAATGTGGTTTCAAATCCAATATCTGGGATTTAATCAAAATCAGAGAGGATCTTATTGAAAATGTTCTGAACACACAGAAGAGAGAACTATTTGGAGGTGCAGTGAAGCACAAAGCCAGTGGGGCTCCACTAGTAAGGTTGAGGCAGTGGCAGTGTGGGGGGGTGTGGCTCTCCCCATACCCCCTCCCAGCACACCTCAGCCTTCACAAGTGGAGCCCCCAGGAAGTGTGTTAAAACGAGCATCAAAAATAGTCCTGGATGAGGGCAGAAGAGTGTCCTGCAAACTACAATAACCAGAAAAACCCCAGGGGCCTGTGAAGCGGGAAGCCTGGGCCAAACGGAGGAATTCGGGGTGGGAACTGGAGGTCTTACATCCTGCTACTCCCAGGTGACAGGCCCCAGCAGGCTGGGTGCATACTCAGGAGTCTTGTTCTTACAAGTCACAGTTCATGGATCCTTTTCCCAAACTGGGCCTTTAGGAAACACTCCAGCTGCTAGTCCTAGAAGCAAGGTCAGGTAGTTAACCTGAAAAGGTAGCTCTGAGAAAGGGCAGCTGAAGCCTGAAGGAAATGTGAAGCCAGAAAAGGGGCAGCGTCACCCAAGTCATCCAGCCCACCTGTTCCTTAGGGCTCCACTTTCTCCTCCCTGCTTTCCCTGCTCAGAGCCTCCAAGTATCTCAACCTGTCCAGGCTGAAAGTCATTGGTGGAACATTTGCAATATTACCCAGACTCTTCCAGCAGCCATGTTGGTGCTCTGCCCCCACCTTCTCAGATTCCTTCTTACTGTTTATGTGTGTTCCTTGGTTGGGATAACTTTGAGATGACACACTCTAGATCCCCTTACAGGATCTGGTAGGAACCACCCTATCCAGGACTTTTATCTTAGACTGTACCTGTTATGAGTTGAATTGTGTCCCCTGAAAAGATATCCCCAGTACCACAGAATGGGACTTATGTGGAAATAGAACCATTGCAGATCCAGTCAGTTAGGATGGTAGGCCCTTAACCCAATATGACTGGTTTTGTTATAAGAAAAGAGGAATTTGACTGGGCATGGTGGCTCATGCCTATAATCTCAGCATTGGGAGGCCAAGGTGGAAGAATCACTTGAGGCCCGGAGTTTGAGACCAGCCTGGGCAACATACAAGACTCCATCTCTATGAAAACTTTTAGAAAATAATTAGCCAGGCATGGTGGCACATAGCCGTAGTCCTAGCTATCTGGGAGGTTGAATTGTAGTCCTAGCTATTTGGGGAGGTGGCTTGAGCCCAAGAGTTTGAAAACTATGATTGTGCTACTGCACTCTAGCCTAGGTAACAGAGTGAGACCCCATGTCCAAAAAAAAAAGGTAATTTAAATACAGAAATAGAAACACACAGGAAGTTGGCCCTATGAGGACCAAGGCAGAGATTAGAGTTACAGGCATTACGGGAGCTGCCACAAGAAGCTGGAAGAGGTAAGGAAGGATGCCCCACTAAAGACTTTAGTGGGAGCACGGCCCAGCCAACACCTTGATCTTGACCTTCTAGGCTTCAGAACCATGAGATAATAAATTTGGTCATTTCAAGCCACACTGGCTCTGTGGTACTTCATTTCAACAGCCGGAGGAAAATCAGGTAGCCCCTCTGGTTCAGCCTCTCTTTTCTTGGCCTGCTTCCTCTGCTTCCTTTTCTGGTCCCCTGGAAGCACTTTTTCAATAAATGATTTGCCCACAAATCCTGACCTGAAGATGAGTGAGTGCTGGTTACTAACCTCACACTCTTTCTTCCTACTAGTACTGGAGTTCTGAGGAGTGGGAGGAGCCAGATCTCAAGTGCCAAATGGGCTGCAGAGACTGAGGAAGCCACAGGGACATGGCAAAGGCCCCATGAAGCCATGAGTCAACCCTGAAAGGGGAAAAGGCCTGGCAATGCGACGGCGTTTTAGAAGAGAAGTTTCTAAATCATCACTCTACTAAACATAAACTAATTGCTGGGTCCTCCTGTCATTCAATAAGAAATCTTTGAGCAATTTCCCCAAATATAACACATCCCCAGGTGTGGCAGGAAATACAGACCCTTCCTTGGAAAAAGGGGAAGGAGCTTTGGCTATGAAAACCATTAATTTCTTGGGATTTGCAAAAAGACAGTCACTCTGAGGCTTCAATCCCTGCTCAAGTGCTGGTGGTACCTTGCCTTTGCCAGCTGTCCCTTCACTGGCATCAATCCTGACATCCTCCTTGGGCCCTCTGACCACACAGTGGCTGTGCTTTCCCCACAGCTGCCTATGGGCTCAGGCAATGGTTTTCAACTTTCCTAATGCCATGACCCTTTAATACAATTCCTCATGTTGTAGTGACTCCCAACCATAAAATTATTTTCGTTGCTACTCCATAACTATAATTTACTACTGTTATGAATCATAATGTAAATATCTGATATTAGGTGACTCTGTGAAAGGGTCATTTGACCCCCAAAGGGGTTGCAACCCACAGGTTGAGAATCGCTGGGCTAAGTGGTCACAGAACAGAGAGGATGTTCAGACAGAAGGAAGCTGAAGGTTCATCTTTTCCTATCCCTTATGCTAAAAAGGAGAATGAGGAGGCCCACAGAGGTCAAACCAGCTCAGCATCACCAGAATTACAAGTCATTTTATTAATACCAAGGCCAAGATGCTGGAGGAGTATATTGTACAAGTTTGAAATTGTGTAGACCTGAGCTGGAATCCCACCTGGGAGACTTGGGCAAATTGCTAAGCTTTGCTGAATCTGTTCATCACCTATAAGATGGACTTAACAATATCTACTTAATGGGTCATTTCAAGGGTAAATGAGATGACCTGTGTTGCCTTAGCATGATGGCTGTCATTTACTAAAGGAAACAATTTGATAATTATACTTAAGGATAGTTATATGTACAAAAATTATTATTAACTATAGTTGCCTCCACTTTACTAAACACAATTCTGTAGAACATCACTTTTTTTTTATTGTTATTGTTTTTATTTTTTTTTTTTAAACATTGCTTTTTTTATGGCTAGGACAGAGGTCTGTAAAATTTCTCTGTGAAGAGCCAGACAGACAATATTTTAGTTTTTATGAACTACATGCTCTCTGTCCCAACTAGTCAACTCTGTCACTGTGGTCCAAAAGAAATCATAGACAATATGTAATTAAATAAGAGTGGTTGTGTGCCAATAAAGCTTCATTTACAAACACAGGTGTTGGATTAGATTTGGCCTACAAGCTGTAAGTTTGCCACCACCCAGTCTAGGACCATTATGACTAATGATCACACTGATGATTCTGACACAAAGCCAGAAAAAAACCGAAGTGAATTCAGCAAAATTTTAGTTAAAATATATTTTGTACTATTTTTAAAGTTGATAATTCATGTCCAGTGGAAATTTAATTAATCAGAAATTTTATTAAGAATAACAGAAACAGACCAGGTGTGGTGGCTCACACCTGTAATCCTAGCACACTGGGAGGCCAAGGCGTGAGGATCACTTGAGCTCAGGAGTTTGAGACCAGCCTGAGCAAGAGTGAGACCTTGATGCTACTAACATTAGATAAAAGTAGGTGGGCATTGTGGTGGCCACCTGTAGTCCTCACTACTTGAGAGGTTGAAGCAAGAGGATCTCTTGATCCCAGGAGTTTGAGGTTACAGTGAGCTATGATGATGATGCCACTGCATTCTAGTCAGGGTGACAGAGTGAGATAATGCCTGACAAATAAATAAATAGGCTCGGCACCTGTGGCTCAAGCAGCTAAGGCGCCAGCCACATACACCTAAGATGGCGGGTTCGAATCCCCAGCCCGGGCCCGCCAAACAACAATGATGGCTGCAACCAAAAAATGGCCAGGCGTTGTGGCGGGCGCCTGTAGTCCCAGCTACTTGGGAGGCTGAGGCAGGAGACTCGCTTGAGCCCAGGAGTTGGAGGTTGCTGTGAGCGTGATGCCATGGCACTCTACCCAGGGGGATAGCTTGAGGCTCCGTCTCAAAAAAAAAACCAAACAAATAAATAAATAAATCACAGTAAAAATCAGCACTAGACAAAGCATTTTACATACATAATCTCATTTAATCTTCACAACATCTCTATGGGGCAGGTATTAGTATACAAGAACTCTGTTTTACAAGTAGCCAAGGTTAGGTAATTTGTCCAAGATTAATAGTATTCTTTGGAAGAGTCAACCCAGAGCTGTTGGACCTCAAAGCCCATGTTTCTATCCCCTACTCTCAGTGCTTCCCATCCTGGGGCCACACTAGATCACTAGCCAACAGCACCTCTATTAACAAAGAAGGTGTATCCCAGTGCAGTGGGCTAAGTTTAGATAGAAGAGAGGAAGGGGGCACAGGCAGAGAAGTCTAGAGTGGTTGTGTAAATGCCCGAACCAGTCTAGGTCCAAGCAATAAACCAGAGGTGGAAAACTGGAGAGAACCTGTTTTGATAACTAGCTACTGAGTACCTGCTCTATGCCAAGTGCTCCATGCTATTTTAGGTGTTGGAAATTGGTTAAAAAAGAAAAGAAAAATAGACAAACATCCCTTTCCTCATGGAACTTACATCCTACTGTGTGAAAAGGCAACAGAACAAATGAGACAATATATAGAAAAAGAGAGGCACTAAATTCCACAGAGAAAAATAAAGCAGAGCAGAGCAAACCTACTGCCTACACTTCTTTTGAATGAGAATCAAAGAAAGTATTTTGTTCCAAAACAGGATACAAAGTACAAGTTTGTCTGGGAGCAGTAATAGGTTAAAAACTATTTAACCAGAAGTGTGAGGAGCACTTTATTAGCAAATATAAACATTAGATTTTTCCCCTAATTTAGTCAAATGGAACAGGAAAAAGGAAGAGAACAGGAAAAAGGAAGAATACAGGAAAGTGAGCATTAGACCAAGGCTGGGGTTGTGTTCAATACCCATCTGTGGGGGGAACAGTTCAAAAAGGCTCAGTCACTGAGGACAAAGGGGGACAAATGGGACAGTTTTGCATGGCCAGCTTACATTCAGTCAGACTAGAAAAGTCAAAGCTGCACGCAGAACTTCTAGGTTTGTGACTTCGGATTACGTGATTTATGTCTGAGTTTTAATACAGGCTTTGTTCCAAAGGAACTGTATTTCAAGCGACTCATTAATTATCAGTAAGTTCTGCTTTCCTCACCATAGCCTAAAAAGTCCCCATTCCATTTTCATTTTGACTGAAGAAAAACAACTGCCCTTGAGAGGACAGTGACTGCTCCTTGGCCCAAGGATGGAAGCAGGCACCTAAGGGAGAAGCTGATGCTCTACTCACGTTTTTCGTGAATGGCCGGAATCCTCAGGGTGGCTACTGGAGATTCTCCAAGAGAATTGTAAGAAATCACAGACACCCAATATGCCTCGCCTCCCAGGTCCAGTTCAAACTGCTGGTTAGTGGTGTTCCTGATCTCCGTGAGGTTAGTTTTATTTTCTGGAAAGTACCATATGTTGTAGCCAAGTGTTTTCTCCAGGATTGGGGCTCCTCTTGCTTTCTGAATCCAAAGGAAACACCAGAAAAAGAAAGACCCAGAGACAGTCTAAGTGGTGGGGGTGGTGGGTTAGAGATAATGTTAACTAGTAGCTGCTAAAGTACAATTAGGTTTTTACCCCTCAGGGATGAATAACATACCCTAGGCTGGGATATTAATGCCTCAAGTGCCGGAAGGGATTTACTGAATGGTAACCTGGTGGTATCAATCCTTAACCTGAGTTTAATTCCATGAGGCTAAACTGGGATGCTGCTCAAGCCAAAGAAAGCAAACCACCTTCATGTCCTTCTGAGTGTGTCTTTCACTCCATCCCACAGGTGTGGAGAGGTAAACACTAAACAGCCAAGCCTCTGAGTACATCCCAAGTCCGCTCTGGCCCACGTCATCTCTTGCCCTATCATCCAAGAATTGGAAAGTTCACATGCCCTTGTCTTTTATCGTCACACCTTCCCTCCGAGGAGAGAACCAGCTTCTCTGGACTGGGCTTCTTGGTCAGGCATCCTACCGAAGAGAATTAAAACATTCAGGGCTGCCCTACCAGTCCCAAGTCCTTGGTGAGAAGCCTAAGATGGAACTGCTGGAGCTTTAAGCCAAACTTTTACTTTCAGCCTTGAAGTTGGCCCCACTAACCAGATGTTTCACTTAGGAGTCAGCAAGCTGAGTATTTCCCAGAAATTATAGGGTTTCTCAGTTGTTTACTTTGTTATTGACTATACACACAGCTGGAGAAGAATGAACAAGTCAAGCAGAACCTTAGAAGTCCCGTTTTCCAAGTGCCTTTCTAGTTCAAAAATTTCTTCTGTGTTGCTGACCATGGCACAAAAGGTCAGCTAGAATCTTCCTATGACTGGAAGCCATTTATCTCTCAAGACAACCCATTCTATTTTTTTAAATAACAGCTTTATTGAGATGTAATTCACATTCCAGAAAATTCATTGCCTTAGCTCAGGTGGCTCATGCCCATACTCCCAGCATTTTGAGACAGAGGATAACTTCAGGCTGGGAATTCGAGACCAGCCCCAGCAACATAGCAAGACCCCATCACTACAAAAAATAAGAAAAATTAGCTGACTATATGGCAGCATATAGTCCCAGCTGCTCAGGAGGCTAAGGCAAGAGGATTACTTGAGCCCAGGAGTCTAAGGCAGCAGTCAGCTATGATCATCATGCCACTGCATTCCATCCTGGGCAACAAAGTGAGACCCTGTCTCAAAGGAAAAAATAATTACTGATTAAAGCAAATTCAATGTATTGTGAATTTAAAGAATATTCACAGAGTGGTGCAACCATAACCACAATGTAATTTTGGAACATTTTAGTATATTGCTTTTTTTTTTTTTTTTT